GGTGCGTCTTATACACTTAAAGAGCCGAGGTGGCGCAGTGGTTAGGGTGCAGTACTGCAGGCCACTTCAGCTGACTGTTATCTGACTGTTATCTGACTGTTATCTGTTCAGCGGTTCTAATCTCACCGGCTCAAGGTTGACTCAGCCTTCCATCCTTCCGAGGTGGGTGAAATGAGGACCCGGATTGTTGTTGGGGGCAATATGCTGACTCTGTAAACCGCTTAGAGAGGGCTGAAAGCCCTATGAAGCGGTATATAAGTCTAACTGCTATTGCTATTGCTATTATACTCCGGTGCATCTTATGCTCCGAAAAATATGGTAAGTAAATTGACCCAGACAGTACACTGTTTACTAAGCACTTATGTATGTTAAAGAAAAATGTATAAATGATTTTTTTTTAAAAAAAAAATCAAGACGGTGGCCATAACCACACCGGATGAAGAGAAAAACTATATGGAACGTTTGCAATATTGGCTGAAATGAGGTAGGTTGTATCTTCTACAAGGCATCCCTGGGAGGGTGTGTGTGACAAAAGTTAAGATGGTGGCCATAGCTGTGCCATCAAACCCTGCCCCTTTGGAGATGTGCAGTGCATGTGATGTATATTGAGAAGGGGTAGGGCTTTGATCCATACAATTAAAGCTCCACTCTTTTTTTACGTACATTGTATGTGTGACACATAGTAAAAGGAATGGGCTATGACTATGTGGTTGTGGCCCCTGGACATGTGTCTGACTCAGCACATTTGCCCTTTTTAAATTTTCTAACATTCAGGTTGTAAATACAGGTAGTCCTTGACTTACAACAGTTCATTTAGTGACCTTTCAAAGTTACAATAGCACTGAAAAAAAAAAGACTTATGACCATTTTTCACACGATTGCAGCACCTCCATGGTCGCATGACCAAATTTCAGGCACTTAACAACTGGTTCATATTTATTTATGACCCTTTAGTGATCTCCCGGGTAGCCCATCAAATGCTTCCACTGCAGTCAGCAAGGCCACCGAGTGACCAAATGCCTGACTCCAGCTGCTATGCCAAAAGCTGCAGAGCAAGCAAAGCCAAAAAAACTGCTGTGGAAGGCACCCAAGAGGGGGAAATTTGTGCGCCAAGCAGTGAAGGTCTCCTTTCCACCCAGTGGGGAGGAAGGAATTCCAGCCCAGGGACCTTGAATGCTCATGGCCTACGACAGCGACGAGGAAAGTGAGGATGACTTGATAGTAAGTGACACCATCTTGCCCTTTGCCATTCTGTCAAAATTAGTAGTGCCCAAGATGGGGAAAGAGGGGGAGGTGGAAGCCATCATAGATATGGGTTGCACCCATTACCTAATCAGCCTACCCACAGTCCTAAAGCTAGGGATCAGGACAAAAATGATGGCTCAACCCATAAGATTCGAACAGGTTGATGGATTGCTGATAGGGGGAGGCCCTGCCACACTCCTCACCAAACCTGTCAGACTAGAGATGGGCCGACACTGGGAACTCATCAGCTTCATCGTAGCACAAAAAATGACGGAAGTGGTGATTCTAGGACTGGCTTGGCTAGACAAATGGGCCCCCACCATCTGGTGGGAAGTGGGCAACAGAAAACTGAGGTTGGGAGTGGATCCCATCCATCTCACCAACACAGCCATGGGAACCCCTGACCGACGGCTAAAACGAGACAACAAAGCCAAAACCATGTCGGCGCAAACCACAGGAACACCCCAAATCCCCAGGGAGTACCAGGACCTAGCGGGGGGTTTCAGCAAAGAAGAATGCAACACCCCACCACCCCACCAACTGTGCCATTGAATGTGTCCCTGTGGCGAAACTACCCAAGCCAAAAATGTACTCCATGACCCCAAAAGAAATGAAAGAGCTAAGAGAGTACATCGACACGAACCTAGCAAGGGGATTCATACAGCCCGCCAAATCAAGGGTAGCCACCCCAGTCCTCTTCAAGGAGAAAAAGGATGGGTCGATGAGGCTATGCGTAGATTTTAGAGGAATTAATGCAGTATGCATGGAAAATATGTATCCTCTCCCCCTCAAGAAGGACCTGCTAGCCAACCTAGCAAAAGGAAAGGTGTTTACAAAGCTGGACCTGTGAGAGGCATACTACCGAGCGTGGATTAGGGAAGGAGATGAGTGGAATACTGAATTCAATTGCCCCCTAGGGAGCTTCCAATTTAAAGTAATGCTGTTTGGCCTCCAGGGTGCCCCTGTGGTGTGTATGCAGCTAATGAACAAGGTGCTCCATGAGCACCTCTGTAAGGGAGTCCTTGTGTATTTGGACGATATTCTCATAGTCACCGAAACCTTAGAAAAGCACATTAAACTAGTACAAGTACTGAAAAAACTCTTGGTGGCTAAACTGTATGCCAAGCTCTCAAAATGTGAATTCCACATTTGCCTAGGCTGCCTGGGCTACCGGGTATCTAGTAAAAGAATAGAAATGGACCCATGCAAAGTTAAAGCCGTTTTGGACTGGCAAGCCCCTCGCACCAGCAAACAGCTTCAAAGCTTCTTGGGGTTTCCAAACTTCTACTGACAGTTCATCCCTTCATTTGCTGAGATTGTCCTCCCCATCACCAAATTCCTAAAAACAGGAGGGGGGTCAAACCGTGGCCCTGCCAACCATTGAACTAGACTTTAAAGTGCCAAAAAGCATTTGAAATGCTAAAAAGACTTTTTGCTGTGGAGCCAATCCTCAAACACTCAAATCCAGAGCACCCGTTTATTGTCCA